AATTATAGGAATTGTAGGGAAGTGTTACCATGCGCAGGCTCTGTAGCTGTAAATTCCAGGACTGACTAATAAGTGAGGAGCTACAACTAACTGTTCAGCACACCCCCATCAGCACCTAGACGTAAAACTTGTCTCCTCAAACTGCAAAAGTTTTCTTTACATTCAGGAAAGTTCGGGTGATGGAATATATTTGGACATGAAATCTATCTGACGTGTATGTAACTATTGTAGATTCTAATGTTATACGATGATCACCATTATTACAAGTAAGTTGTGTTAAACATTACTTCTTGCACTGCCACGATTCACAAGTGTAAAGCTTCATATCAAAGTGTTTATCTAACTGATATATAGTCAGTTTAAGACAGTCTATCAATCAGTAATGTGCCGGTACAGTTGGAGTGTTGTGTGGATCATGTATTCTTTAGACGACACCCATCCCTTGGGTACTGTTATTGCATTATGCCAAGTCATAAGATCCATGTTTCTCATGACTGCCGAGATTACTACAGATTTATGGGCGTCATGTGCTGAATATCCGCAGCAAGAAAATCAGCACCAAGGACAGATCCATTCTAACACTGCAACAGTTGGTGCAGTGTATATTATTTTTCATTTCATTTTTTCCCTTAACAGAATGATTGCCCAACAGATTGGTTGAATGCTGCAGTATCTTAAAGATTATGGCTTCACATCCCTCTCTGTAAATTGAAGCCCCACACAAATTAGTTGAATGTGCTCCATTTGAAATTTCAGTCTTGCTTGACTACATGTAATTTAAAGAGATGCATTATCCTGCTGTACTTAATGTAACCTTGAATTTCCTTACTAGCTATGTTTATGTTTATTTATGAAGATTTACCACATTTGTGGAAGGATTGACATAACAGGTGACTACCACCTTTTCAAAGATGTCAACCCCGAGACCAGGCTGTAAGGTTTGAACCACTCACACCGGGAAGGTCCCCTACTCTTTTCGATAAGTGCGGTGGGTTCTTTAACGTGCTTGGGGTGTGACTCTCCCAAACACGGGACCTCCATTTTGCGTCCTATCCGAGGGACGTCCCTAGCCAAAGCTAGGTACTCATTTTCACCTGAGTGAAGTGAGGAAAGTCGTGTAAAGTACCTTTCCCAAGGGTACAACGTCGGGGCGCATGTTCGGACTTGTTCGGGTACGACCCGGAATCGAACCCGGGTCTCCCCGCTTCGTAGTCCAGTGATGTACCACTACACCACACGACGCCATTTGTCTTTTATTGGCATGATGTTTTCAAACAACAATTTTGTTATGCCTAGTTTTATGGATCTTTTTTCACCATCCATTCCCAAGCTATTATGGAGGAGGCAGTTTTGATTATGAGGCATTAGAAGTGGACTGTGATTTACTGCACTGCTTGCTTGCTTGTTGCTAAATTCACTTGTAATATGTTTCTGCTGGGTTTTAACATAAATCTTTATAAGTTATGGGTAGCTCACGGATGCTTGGCTAGGACATGAGGCAGTTCAAATGTCCCTTGTACCAATTCCATCGGTAAGAAGCTATTTTGAAGGAAATGTTGTATGACAGATTGGTGAAAAGGCCTCTATATGCTAGTGGAACTTATTAAGGGCTATTCCAATGACAAGCAAAAAATGGGGGAGTAAAACATCAGTTTAACAATGAACCCATCTTGAATTCTCAGTATCATTCTGTTTCATATGATTTGAAAAAATGTTCACAAGTAATAATTCAGACCTCTGCACTTTCTATTATTTTATCCTAGATGACATTGTTAGGTTTGCTACGTTATTATAGCCTCCGTTACTTGTAATTTTATCTAAGGTAGAGTTGTGTGTTAGATTATTGTAATAGAAAAGGACTCCTAGAAGACTATGACGTACATTGCACATGATGTATTTTATATTAATGGAGATTATAAAGAAACAAACAAATTTGATACTTACACACACCCCAGTAACTTTGCATTGTTTAGTTATAGTTTAATACAGTCCTGCCATCTAACCACATTTTCCTGTTTACAGAACAGCCCACAGGTGTTTCCCTTCCTATGAAAAATATATAATATTCACCTGACTCCTGCTGACCCAAATAAGAAGAGTCCATGTCAGATTGCAGTTGACACGGTGCATCATTCCGGAAACAAACTACACTTACATGTCAGCAAGGTCATACCGGCCAATATGCCGGCAGGTGGCCACCATCATATCCACATCGGAATAAGAACGGTCGCCAGGTTCAAATTAGCACCTAATTACCGGCAATTACCGGGTGTCCTGAAAGTGTGGTATTGTAATTTGTAAGGAGGGTCAGGGTGGGGGCATAAACCTACAACAACAGCTGTCACCAACAGAGAACTGGCTGTTACTTCAAAATTGTCTGTTGCAATAGTTCCTAGTTGTAAGGTCTTATGCAGAAGACTTTTGTGGTATCTACGGGTGCATCTTTGAAAGTTAGTTGTAAGTTATGACTGTAAGATTTTACCCAATCTAATCCAGGCATAGCTTACAGAACAATTACAGTAAGCGATTTTATTAAATCTAGCTTTTCTTTATGAAAGGAAGTATTGATTTTGTAAATTTTTCAAGATCTCTATGAGGGGATTCAAAACCTGATGGAAATAAAATCAAAGTCTATCCTTTCTTCAATTTTATTCAATCTATAATACACATAGTCATAAATATTTGATTATGGTTTGAGTATCCAAAGCCCAAAGAAAGCAATTAACATTTTGTAAAGAATAGATACATAACATTTAGGTTAATGTTTTGCTTTAACCTTTTTATAATGTACAGTATATAGGGCATCATTGAAATTCCCCATGGGACAAATCTTATGGGACGTTGATGCTCATCAACAGTGTCCTGTCCAAAATTTCCATATGGGAAGTGGAGCAAGGAGACCAAAATGCTGACATCAATATTCTCTGTGGATGGCATCCATATGTTTCAATTAGGAAGGAACTGAAGGAATTTTTTGGGTTGGAAATGTGGAGGCCCATGGCTGGGTTGTCAGAAAATACAGTAGGCTTTCAAAGTGTACTTTTTATTGCTCTGTCAAGGAATCCCAGGCCAGTAAAACAGAAGGTAACAAGAAAAAGTCAGGTTACTGTACACAGATTGTTCTTGTACATTTTTGGATCTCTCTCTCTCTCTCTCTCTCTCTCTCTCTCTCTCTCTCTGTCTCTCTGTCTGTGTCTCTCTCTCACTCTCTGTCTTTCTCTCAGTGTATAATAGGATACTATCTCTTGATAGGCAGAGGGACAATTTGACTAAATAGAAAGTTGATACCATATATGACTAGTTTAGCTGTCAGAAAATATGTGTTGAACTTCTTTCTTCACATTTGTTAGTGTATGCTGTCAGACCTGACAAGTGAATTGAAGATAAATGACCCCCGTGCTAGAATAATGGTTATGTCCTGGTCACAACTTCTAAAGGGATTCTCACAATAGATCTTCACACTCGCCAAATCGTCAGAATTGCAAAATGGTGACTTAATGCTTATTAGACGACCCTCGGTGCATTGATGAAGCGATAAAGGAGATTTAGAGCATCAGCTCTGACGTCAGCGCTGTCTCATTATGCAGGAATTAGCGGGTGAATTGGTCAGTACGTGTGCAAATGAGAGAAACTCAGTTGTAGGATTACTGCAGCAATGGAATGGCCAACATAAGAGACAACCAGATAAAAGAATACTGTAATCGCAGAAACTTTCACAGTGGCACAACAATTAAGCACAACGAATAATATGTGTTTTATAGTTCTACTCTGGTACAGAATTGTTTAAGCCACTAAATTCAAACGCTGCAAAAGCCTTCTTTTCTCTCCCGCCACGAAAAAGAGTAGGCAGGAGTTACTTGGAGAAAGCTACATTATGGAAAGAAGGCCATTTTCCTGGTATAGTAGTTTGTAGTACTCATAAGTTAGCTCTCCAGTATAGACAGGAGTTTGTTGTAGTAGAATATTCCTCAATTAGTGATGTTTTATAAAGGTAAAAACACGTACATTTACCTCCAAGTTTTTTATGTCTACTGTACATGTACATCTTGGCCACATGATCAAGATGTACATGTACAGTAGACATCTAAAATTTGGAGGTTCATGTTTTTACCTTAACACGTGACGGATGAATCTCTTCAAAGACAGGAGATTGATCTCGTAATTTCCCGCCGAAGTGTAGGTCAGTCCGAGTGACGTTACGGAGGGATTATACTTGGGGAGCTGTGATTACCGGGTGTAACTAGACCGTGTAATTCATAAAGCCTCGCTCCAAACAAGTTTCCAGCAGAAAGTTATGGCGATTTGTCAAAGTGTCAGCGAGAGAGATGTTAGAAACACCCACAGCCCGGTATAGTTAGGCTTAGTTATGCTGCTGTGGATACCGTTACACTTGTACTGGTTTTGGCAAACACCACCGTGCAATATATGGTGATATGTAATATTTGCTGATGTAATGATATGAATAGTGGCTTATGAAAAGTTGTGTCGAGTCATGGTCAAAACTTGAAAAGTGATCAGTGTTGATAGTCTCTAGATTTGCACCATGCACGGTTCTGGATGCACATGGACTATCCAGAACCGTGCCTCATGGTTCTGGATAAATCACAGTTCTGAATACAACAAATGTTATAATCTTTCTTTATTTATTTATTCATTACATCTTAAGACAACTGGCTTGCCCCTACAGCTATTTTTTGCTGATTTCCAGGGAGGCATATGAACAATAAGAAAACAATGCATGTAAAACCAAAATACATTTCTTAGTCTATCAGATAACATGGGTCCAAAATTAGAAACATAACATTGAGAAACATAACAAGAAGACTTAGTATAGCTAACAAAACTTTGTCCCCCCAGATGCCGGCGTGGCCAGCCAAATTCAACGAGTCTAAATTCATTCCATTGTTGGAAGGAAAGTTTAGTCTTTATTTCATAATGACTTATACCAAGTTGACACAGATGAACTTTCATGCTAAACGTTGTAATCTTCGTCCACCCAGATGCCGGCGTGGCCAGCCCGTCTCCGACAGAGTCCAAACTTCCCGGGGGCCTGAAGCGGATGGTGGACATGGTGAAGGGGGACGAGCTGGAGCAGCTCAGGGACTTCAACAGGAAGCTGCAGAGGGCGCTGGAGGAGGAGATGACCAAGAACATCAGTATAACAAAGGTGAGAACTTATCATGAAAGTTCATCTGTGTTAGTAGTTTAAGATTATACTAAAATGTTGAACTTTATTCCAACACAAGGATTACACAGAGATCAAATTTTTTAAGAGGCATTAAGGAGGCCATATATATCAGGGCACTAATGTGAATGTGAATAAGGTCACGTGTCTGTAACCGTAACTCTCATGAGATTACGTTTTAAAGTGATTGGTCATTAATTATCCTGATGAAGGCGACAGTGGTGGTTGAAAATTTGATCTGTGTAATCCTTGAGTTTGATTAAAGTTCATCATTTTACAAAGGCGGGGCCTTCATATAGTCTTCTTAAACTGTCTGAAGTAGTGGATATACATGTAGGAGTTTTTTTTTACACAAGTGCCAGCTGCATTGGCTACAGAAGTAGAACTCCAGTCAGACAACATTGGTTGACAGTGTGTAAAAGAAAAACCCTACTCTGCCAACCTGATGAAACTATTTTTGGATGTCTGGAATAGTGTGTGGTGGTGTATAGTGGCTAGAAATCATGCTCCTTAAGCATGGGGTTGTTTATTTGGATTCCAGCTATATCTTGTAACCAGGTGATACCAGCTCAGAAAAAAAAACAAGAAATAGTTATGACTTGAAGTGCCAGAGTTACCTGTATAACCCCAGGCTGAGGTGAAAAAAAAGAGACAGTTTTTTTCCTAGATGGTAGAGTGGAACTCATTGCCACCAAACACAGCAGGAGTGTCCTCACTAGATACTTGAAGCTGTAAACAATGCTTGTCGCTAGATGTGCAAAGGATACAACATCATGTATAGTTGTGAGAGGTTATTCCATGTAATATAACTAGCTGCTGCCACACTAATGTAACTAGCTGCTGTGTTACACTGAAGCAAGGACATTCATTATACATGTCCTTGACTGAAGGGTAGTTATATTGACTAGACAGATACAAAAAATCTGATACAGAAACCAACATACGTACGAGTACAAGTACCAGAGGGTGAAGGATTGCTTTCATCAGAAGCAGCCAGAGGAAACAAGACAGCATCTGACAGCAGCAGGAGATTACATGCTATTATTCATTTCGCAGGTGGCTTATATGCGGAAGGAAAGATTAAAAACACAACTTCTCTTGTCTTCTCAAACTGTGCTCTCCTCAGGTGGTAATAATCAACAGGAAAGCTACCTTATTACTCGTGTTCAGCTAATTATTCTTGCTTTATACTGTAGGAGGGGAAATTTATGGCGCCTGGTATCACCTTCATTTTCTTGCTTTTATGGTGTCATTATATGTAATTCCATACTAATTGGAAATGCACCAGTATATAGCTGATAATGGATTACTATACCCAGAAGCTATTGAGTGTTGATTGCTAATGAAAGAAGAAAGGACATTTTTGTTATATGTTAATGTTTGTCATAAGATTGACAAATGTTCACGACGTACAGTATGTTTGTTCATGTATAGTCTATTGACTTTCAAAGATAAGTGATTTACGTGAAGTTTGTTGAGTTGTTTCCACTGGGAAAACTCCTGTGATCTTGTATCAGGATGGGCACACCTCATCCCTCACTACCCCCATCATGTCCAAGGATGACTTATTTTCTGCTTTGTAATAAAAACCCTTCCTACAGTTAACATAAAGATATATACTTGTATTAAAGGTCAATTGTAATATCAAACTACAAGTTAGTATGGCAGACACATTCATGTACATATATAAGGGGCCAGTCACACACATTATATGATTGTCATAAGATATCAAACTGGATACATTCTTGGGATAGTCATACATGTACATCAACATAAAAATCCTTTGATGACCTACAACAAATGTAATCCATGACATCACTGTCTTGCAGTTTCAAGGACATTCCTCTTTTTTTCTTTTTTTTTTTTTTTAACGTTTGAGAATCTGTCAGGTACAGTTGTGTTACTTCATAAAAGTTGGCCCAAAGGATTTACATGTAGCATTTTCTATTCCATTGCTTGAAGTCAGAGATGTAAAACTACTAACTACTAAAAGGATGGTTTTGGTTTACTTTGTGGTAGTAACATTAGACCTTTTAGTTTCTTACCATGAATACATGTAGATTGATGGTAAGTGAGGTATGGTACCTGTAAGGTAATTTGACACTAAGTGGGTTTCTATTTCATCTCTGCCCCATAGAATAAAACATGATCTTAATGATTTTCTTGAGTAAAGTGTCCTAAGGTTAATATATTATGGTCAGTTTGGCCTATATCTGATCCGAAAATGGTAATGATGATCAACTTGGCAAGAAAATACATGTATGTACATATACTCACACAAACGGTTGTATGCAGGTACATGTAGGTGATTTTGTAGTAAAACGTTAAACAATAACAAGATTCCTTATCCTGTTCATGAACAGTTAATGATACCATTAGTGTGATACCCTTCACTGAGACTTTCATGATAGGTGATTTTGTGTTGTTTTCTTTTTTTTGGTGCATTCTGAACTTGAAGCCCTGTTGCTATCTAAATGACAACATCTTTGCCACTCTGTAGAGTCTTCTAGCTGGTACCACCTAAGCAGTGGCAGCAATAACTGGTGTTCGTGCTATTTTGTTATTCAGGCAGATGTAATAGTTATGTAGCAGAAAGGAGCAGAGCATAGTATACATGTACAAGTCATGTAAAAGGTGCATGCAAGCAATAACCAGATTCCTTATCCTGTTCACAAAATGAACAGTTAATGATACCATTAGTGTGATACCCTTCACTGAGACTTAGTTAAAACAATCCACTGGACCGAGCATATGGTTTAGAAGAATGTAATTATGCCTGGTGGGGAATAAAAATTAATGGCAGTACGGCCTTTTTCCCCGCATCGGTTAGGCCATGTTGATTTGATTATATGGATGACATCCGCGCGCGCATGAATTTTCGGCCGTTTCCAAAAAAAAAAAAGTTTTCAACCATACTGTAAATCGTACAAAACAGTTGCAAAATGAGCAAAAATATACCATAAAGTTACAAAAAAAAATTAATAAAAACTATACCAATGTCGTAGAATGCCAAAATCAAACGAAAAAAGACAAAATTGTAAGGAAATGAACTTGAAGACTAGAAAGGCCGACATTTGCTTGGGAGCAAATACAGCAATATTATTTCAGTCCATCTCCCTCCCACGCAAAAGTGGACTATTCCAAACTTACCCCAGTGTAAAACTGGCAAAGATTCTCAAATAAATGACTTATATAGTAGCTATATGAGAACAAAGATGCAAGAACAAGCACATTGAATTTCGAAAGCTTTACTAGAGTCGATTCCGCGTCACCGAGTGGGTTTTTTCTCCATGTTTCTAATACGTTTGAATTATTTAGAAGAATTGAATACCCTAGTAACAAAGTTCTAAATTTTTCAAAAATTTGACAATGAAAATTTGAATATATTTGAATTCATTTATATATTTCTGAAACATTTTGAAAGTGACTGTACAAAGATCTCTTTATTTAGAATAAATTTGAACTACCCATTTGTTTCTTTCACTATTCGAAATATTTAGAACTATTTCAAACAAATGAAAAATGGTAGATGTGGGTAATTGCCCCCATAAAAGTAGGTGCTAATCCTACTCTTCTGTATTCTTCTGTATATTTTTAGATTTCACTGCTGGACACTGGTGGCTCTTTTGTTGTAAGGCATCAATGCCTGACACCCAGGCAGTCTGCCCTGTACTTCACAGGGATGTGTGAATTACTTCCTTCCCATCCCACTGACCTATTTACAAAATGTTAGAAATAATTTGAAATAATGGTAAAAAATGGTCGAGTGCTGTTAGAAATATTTAGAAACTATTGGAAATGTCATATTCCACATCAGGAATATTTCAAACGTTTTAGAAAACCAGGGAATTATTTAGAATATTGACAAGATGTTCAAAATATTTCCAAATTATGAAATTTCTTAGACAAACAATTACAAAGAATTCAAAACATTTCTAAATAATGACAATAACAACCCACTCGGTGACGCGGAATGGACTCTAATCTTCTTACAGCTATGCAAAAACTAACAATGATGAGATTTGATACATTTTGAAGGTCTTAGGCACATAGAATTGAATGTGTGAGTCAGTACGCACCACTTAGGTGCAATGTGACCTCAGGTAACCCGCAATGGAACACGTGTTCCATGGATGGAACCGGCCATTCTTTAGATAGAACATGGAACGGGTATAGCACTTTTGGCCCTTTTTTTGCTGAAAATAGCCATTAAAGTCCCCCAAATAAGTCATTTGGAAGTGGTGTATGCCAAATATGTGACTGTTATTCTGTAGACACATGTTCAAGGTACCCTTATACCGAATTTCAGATCATTTGGTTGTAAAACCAGGGCTCAGGATCCAAAAATCCATTTTTTGGCAAAAAATGCCCCAAAAAACCTTCATAAAAATTTTTCAAAGGCATGTATCAAAAAAATGAAAAAAACGCCTGGGGGTATTGGCTCACTCTACCTCCATGCCAAATTTCAAGTCATTTGGCTGAATGATGGCGGAGTTGAATCCCTTTGACTGTGTGGCAGGAGGAGAAGAAGAAGGAGGAGAAGAAACATCAGAGAACACAATATATTTCATCCATACCATGGTATGGACTGAAATATAATTAGATAATTCGCCAAACCATATTCTGTCCCATTTGTTCAACCCTCAAGACCACGTAGATTTCATAATGAAAACAACTTTTTTTTTTGCAAAACTTTTTTTTTATTCGCACGCGCGCATCAGTTTTGGGGTTCCCGTAGGATGTCATCCATATAATCAAATCAACATGGCCTTATATTGACGGGCAGCGGAGCGTTAAAGGTTACTTTTGTAAAGCTCTCAGCCACCCAATTTCGCCATGGATGACAAACGGTGGAGATTTAGGACGGTAAAGTTTTATGGAAAGTTATAAACGGTTTATTGAATCGACAGCTGTTCACAAATCACGTCCGGGAGGGAACCGTTACGTGGAGAGGAATCACATTCCACTGTTGGGGTAAACAG